ACATCATATATTTATTTATATATTGTATTGTATTTATATATTTGTATTTGTAGGAATACATATAAATATTGACTCCATAATGAACTGAAGTAACGTGTGCAAATATGTTATAGTCTGAGGTTTAACCAAAAGTATATATAAATCACAGTAAAATATTCCCTTAGAGGATTGATTAGTAAAAAATGTACATGGAACTTATTTATGCCATGCGCACGCGTGTGCGCGCGCACACACACACACATCCTTTTCATTTCTTTTTATTTTATTCTTATATACAATTCCAAAAAGATAATTCATATGTTGATTAAATCTTTTTCTAAGTCAGTCATCAGAGCAGCGTGAAGCAGCAAACCTTTTCAATGAAGCAGACTTTGTTCTGAATCCCACCTCTGTCAATTTGATCATAATATATCTTGGAAAAGTTAATGAATCCCGTGAATCTTGGGTTTTTCATTCATAAAATAGGGATTTTGGGGAGGAATAAATAACATACATAATGCTCTGATATATTGTACACTCAAAATCAAACCAGGGTTTGGGGACATCAAGCTCAATTGGCATAACATACTACACAAAACATTGTTCCACATCCTATTTTGGTGAGTAGTGACTGGGATCTTTAAAGCTTGCAAGCGGCCATCTAGATGCAACAATGGGTCTCTCCTTGTCCAGAGAAAAAACAAATGAAGAAAACCAAAGACAATGGAAACAATGAGTCCAAGCAACTAGTACGCCATGGGATCCTCAGCCTATACGACTATGAGACCAGAAGAACTAGATGGTACCCAGCTACCACTATGGCTCCTAGCTGCCCTTCAGGCCTGGAATTGAACCTACTCCTATGGCTTCCAGCCAAATGAAAGACAGGCATATAAGGAATACTTACTTACATTAGGTAGATAAACTCCTCAGAGGGAACAATCATGGTTGAAAGAAGGGCTGTCTATGCACAGAAAGACAGCTCAGGGGGCAGGAATGCATGGAGGGGTGGACACAGGGAAGAGGTAACTATGGGGAGGAAAGCTGTTGCATTGGGGTAAATTGTAGTCAATGTCCTGAGACAATGTTGTATGTGAACTGCTGTATGGAAAGTGAATTTTCTCTGTAAAATTTCACCCAAATCACAAAAAAAAAAAAAAAAAAAAAATTTCCATCAAGTTGATTCTGACTCATAGCAACTTGTTCTGGTTACCTAGTGCTGTTCTGACAAGAAATATATACCACAGGTGGGATGGCCTTAACAAACAGGAGTTTATTCTCTCACAATTTAGAGACTTTAAGTCTAAGTTCAAAGTGCCAGGCTCTAGGGGCTGCCTGAAAACCCCTCAACCTTGGGGTCCAGCTCCGCCTCCTGCTCAGATGGCCACTGGCTGCTGAGGCTGAGAAGCCCCAAGGTTGACAAGGAAAAAGGCACAGTCCCGATGTTACCAAACCACACGGCAGGGCATTAACTTAAGTCCACTGTAAGTCCCAAGGTCGGCAGAGCATAGCAGGCTGCTGAGCAACGACACTGCTACATGCAGGGTCCAAGCGTGCCAAAGGTTAGAGACCATTCTCAAAGCTTCTCCTTATATACAGGAAGCAAACCAGATCCCAAAGGCAGCTACTTAGCTGCTTGTGGTACATCCCACCATGGAATTGATTGCCAGTCTCATCATGGGGAATAATTACCACCAGCTGCCCAGCCACTCAACAAGGCCCAGCCAAGTTGACACACAAACATAACTACCAGACAACCCTACAGGGACAGAGTAGAACTGCCCCATAGGGTTTCCAAGGATGTGAATCTTCATGGAATCAGACTGCTTCATCTTTTCCCCATAGAGCAGCTGGTGGGTTTGAACCAACAACCTTTTAGTTAGCAGCCCAATGCTTTATTCACAGCACTACCAGGGCTTCTTCTGATATCATATGCCCATCTAACTCTCTGGATGTGATTCTAATTTATCTGAATACATTTGGGTCCATCAATCTCACCTTTTCAAATGGGCCTAAAGAACTATAATTTGGGTTTTTGTTGTTAGTGGCTATCAAGTAGATCATGATTCATGGTGACGCCCCCTCCCCCCCATGTACTACAGAGTAGAACTGCTCCCTATGATTTTCTTGGCTTCTTGGCTGTAACCTTAATAGAAAGGAGCTCTTGTGGCACAGTGAATAAGGCATTTGGCTGCTAACCAGAAGGTTGGCAGTTTAAATACACAAGCTGCTCCGCAGAAGGAACATGGGGCAACCTATTTCCATAAAGATTTACAGCCTCGGAAACCCAATGGGTCTCTATGAGTTGGAATTGACTCCACAGCAGTGATTTTTTTTTTTTTTTAACCTTAATAAAAGGAGATGCCAATACCTTTTCAAATGGTAATGCTGAGTGGGTTCAAACTACCAACTTTAAGTTAGCAGTTCAGTGCAAACAGTCTCTGTCACTTAGGACCTTCATAAATTGGGTTATTTGTTCCTAATTGTGATTTCTTTAAAAAATCCAGGAGATGGATGGCAATTCTTATTAACAATGAGCTCTTATTGTCAGGAATCTTACTAACTGCTATAGAAATAACATTCATAATAATGCTTGACAGGTTTTTCTATTATTTTATACATAAGAAAATTAAGTGTTAAAGTTAAATAACTTGTTCAAGGCCACATAAGTAGGGAGCAGTAATGCCAGATTTAGATTCAAGTGTTCTGTCTCCCGAACCACTGATTTTAACAATTTCTTTAATAAATGTATTAAAAACAAAAACACAAAGTCAACACTTGTTATATTCTCTGTATTGCTGTTGTTGTTGTTACGTGCTGTCAAGTCAGACCCAACTCACAGCGACCCCTCCTTGGGTTTCTGAGGCAGTATCACTATGGATGTAGATTGCCCCATCTTCCTTCCGAGGAGCGGTTGGTGGGTTTGAACTGCCAGCCTTCTGGTTAGCAGTCATGTGCCTTAGGCACTATGCTATTCTCTGTATAGAGCATTATTTTACTCAGCATAAAAATAACTCATATTAATGAGTAATAAGCACTATAAATTCCTCAACAATCCCACAAGGTAGGTACTTTTATGCCACTTTTTTCACAGAAGTGGATCCACAGTTGGTAGGGTAAGAAACTTTCCCAAGACAGACCTCTGATTGTGGTGTCAGGATTGACACCGAGGCAGAATGATAAGAAAGCCTTTGATTTTAAACAATAGATTATGCTGTGAAGCTTTTCAAGCAAACAAGAACTAAAGTTGTAAGAGACATAATTCTTACGAGAATGAAAAACATTTCAAATCACTATATAAAATACAACCATTCAACCGCAATGACCTTCTGAGTAATAGCTAAAACAAGATGGCAATGTTCCTGAATTAAACATACCAAACCAAAACCAAACTCACTGCCATTGAGTTGGAATCGACTCATAGTGACCCCTCCTTGGGTTTCCGAGGTGGTATCACTACAGTAGCAGATTCAACATACGAGTCATATATTTTCCTTCATTTATTTACTCTGTTTCTCAATTAAATTACATTTGTGAACATGTAATGCTCAGGATTTACTAGTGATGGATTCTAAAATGGATTCCTTAAATATGAGAATATGAAAAATTATGTATTAATAAGGGAGAGGCAAGAGGAGGTATTTTTTTCCCTCTCTTGCCCTCTTTTCTTCTTCTAAGATGTCGGAGACTGAATGGGAAACTCACTATCCATTTAAAAGATAGAATGAGGCTGTTCTGTAGCCAAATATATCTAGGAACTATTGACATTGGAAAATTAAAATTAAAGTTTTATTTGTTTCAAGACTTCTAAAAAACAAACAAACAAACAAACAAAAAAACAACTCCTTACTGCTGTAGGAAGTAGATTGCCCAATTCTCCTCCCGAGGGGTGTCTGGTGGGTTTGAACTGCAAGCCTTCTGGTTAGCAGTCAAATGCCTTAGGTACTAGGCTACCAGAGCTCCCTCAAGACAGAAGAAATGTCAGTATATGATTATGCACTGTCAGTCCATAAGGGAAGAATATATTATGAATTATTTCCCAAAAATATTAAACCAAGGATCACTTTAAATAGCATAGTGTCTCAGGCCCTTGACTGCTAACCAGAAGGCTGGCAGTTCAAACCCACCAGCCATTCCTCAGAAGGAAGGTTGGGCAATCCTACTTCTGTAGTGATACTGCCTCGGAAACCCAAGGAGGGGTCGCTATGAGTCAGGGCCGACTCGATGGCACACAACAACAACAGCATTTCCTAGATACCAGTGTTCTATGGTGCACTGTTTGGGATCCCTATTCTAAAATAACATATCTTTCCTCAGACATCTATAGATTAATCCTCAACAAAATAGCAAAGATGGCTCTCTTTCCCCTCTTTCAAAGAAATCATCAGCCTTTTCTTCCTCAACACTGGAACTTGATGGACACAAATTAAAGTTTATTCAAGAAAACATAAAATGATTCACCTTACACCTACAGGGAGGAAAAAAAAAGAACAAACTTGTAATTCCACAAAAGAAAAAATCTTCAATCCCAGGTAACATTTGAATCTTATTAAGCATAGGAAAAAAAGAGTTACAAATTCTACAAAAACCCTTCCAATTCAAAAAAAAAAAAAAAGGCATTTTTTGGGAGATACTTCTGTACTTGTGCAATGAGGCCAGCATTACTTTGATGTCAAAGCCAGATAAAAATTAAAAACTGAAATTAATAAACTATCTATCAATATGCCTCATAAATAGAGATGCAAATATTTCTTACTACTTGTACTCAACATCTTACTGGAAGTTCTTCTATTCAGTGCAATAAGGTAAGAAAACTTTAT